GCTTGCCCACCAACAACCTATACCGGTTACCTTTTTTCAGGGTTATGTGTACGACAGCCTGGAAAGAACGGCACTCAACTATGCTAATATCTATTTTACCGACAGTGCTTCCGGAAAAGAGGTGTTTCACGTGGTGAGCAACCGAGGTGATGGCAGCTATGCTATTGCCCTTCCGATAGGTCATACTTACCACCTGACGCTGAGCCGCATGGGTTATCAGCAGATGGACGATACCCTGCGTTCTGTAGCCACAGCAGACCGGCTGCCACTGACCAAACATTTTGCCATGTTGCCTTTTGGGTATGAAAAACCGGTTACAGATACGCCCATTGCTACGATTCGTTTTAAAAGAAATGTGGTAACGCTTGATGATTCTGTAAAAGCAGCATTGACCACATCGATGGCCTACTGGCAGGCGCAAAAGGACATTACCATCCTGGTAAATGGTTATACCGATAATTCCGGTACTCCTTTATTAAACGAACAATTCTCGTTTGCCCGCGCGCAATTAATAACACGGCACCTCGTGAGTATAGGGTTTGCGCCGGAGATTATCCATGCCGAAGGATGGGGAGAAGCAAATACACTTGTCGAAAATACAAATGAAGAGAATATGGATATCAACCGCAGGGTAGAAATTATTATACGCAGATAACGGGAATACAGCACATTATCAAATATTTCTGATATTTTTGTTGGTATCCCAACTGAAAGGTTCATTGGGTTGTCTATTAATATGTAATTAACCAACCCTTTTTTATCATGAAATTACTGTTATCTGCTCTTTTATTCCTATCTCTCTTCCTTGCCGGCAATCCACTACTTGCGCAGGCTCCGGAACAGGATTGCATTAATGGCATACGAGTCTGTAATTCTTTCTACACACAAAATAATTCCTATACCGGTACCGGTTTTTACCCGGCCGAACTAACTGCAGCCAACCAGGGCTGCCTGTCAGCAGGCGAGCGTAATGATGTCTGGTATATTGTCAATGTAACTTCAGCAGGCGCATTGGCCATGACGTTAAACCCGATGAACCCTGCAGATGATTATGATTTCGCCGTATGGGATATTACCGGTATGGGTTGTGAAGCGATCTATAATTATATTACCAATACAGCAAACAATTATCCTCCGGTACGCTGTAATTTCTCCCCGACAACCGGC